GGGTTTCGCACAACGATGCTGTACCCTGTTTGGAAAACTCTCCTCGTTGTGACTTCGTGGTGGCATTTCAGTGCCACCTACGAGTTTTTTTTTGCTTTGAACAGCCATGATTTTCTTCAGATGCGGTCTCTTATAAGAAAAGAACAATGTCGGATTCTAGGAGACTCCTCCTCACCAGAAGCACCTCACTTTTTTTCTTACGCCTACTACTCAAGAAGTTCTCCGTAGTGATTTTTTTGCAACAAATTTCGGAGGACGTGAAAAATCCGCATTTTCGGACGACGCGAAGGACTCTGGTGCAGTACCATTCCCATTTTGTTTGAAGACTTGAAAGAGCTTTTGGAACACATCTTTTCGTCGAATTGTTGGGAAGTAGTTCATGAGGCGTCGACTGACATTTCCTCTGTACTGCGCCATGCGTCCGGCGAGGTGTTGGCAAGGTGTAAGCAATTTTCAGGTCAAGTTCAGTGAACTACTACTTCAGAAGCCCAATCGTCTAATATGTTTCGTTTGTTTATTAACCATGACCCTTTGTGCGCGGCTACCGTGCTACTTGTCACTACCCATGTCCCATTTCTGAGTGCAATTTCCTCTGTCTTCAAGTTTCTCTTCAGGTGTTCTTCACAGCAACCGGGATTCAGCATTTTATCAATCAGTGATTCTACGCTATCTCAATATTACTGCTCTTCCCACTTCTGAATGAGCTCCGCGCTCACGACCACACTTCTTCGCTTTAAATGCCCCCCTGTTGTGACTTCCACAACGACAGGGTGCCCTGTCAACAAGGCCACATACTACACTCATGTACCGTAGTGCGCGCTTAACGCTGCTGTTTACAGATAACGCGCTTCTCTAAAAGCACAAGAGGAATCTGAGACTGTTGCTTTGAAGCGGGTCTCCCGCAGCATCCACATGGGCTCCCTCACCGCATCCCCTCCCCCCAAAACTGTTGCCCACCGCTCTTTGCTGAAGTTTGCACATGTGACCGCTTCAAATACCACATGACCTCTCAAGTCCGCGAGATATTTTGATCGAAACCATGTTCCATATCCCTCTGCTGCAAGAAGCAGCTACGAACTGCTAGCGGGTACGGTGTGTTTTTCTTTTTGTTGCTCGTGATAACGACCAGACTGAAGAGGATGTTTTGGAAAAATTCCAAGGCTATGCCAACGAAACGATTGCAGTGAAGCGTTCGATTATGTCAACGTACTTGTTCTGAAAACTTTCATTCGCATGCTAATAAATAGTAGTGCTGAGGCTGTGTGTCATTCATCTATGGCCTGTAGACCCACAATGTTTCTGCGCCTCCACTTCACCAAAAATTTTATTTGGTGTGGAAATGGATAGGTTTCACGGTTAACTTTTTCACGCATAAATTTCACGATAATTGAACATAAACTGTGCACTCTCATTCGAGGGTACTGCTGTTAGTCATGTGCGAGGTTAGTGGGCTCGCAAGCTTTATAGCGTGCTATTTTATCAGCTTAAAAGTGCAGGGGAGCGAGGCTGGGGAGGTGCCCCGGGTGCCATTTCGGAGCTCCTCCCGAGCTGCAGGCCAACCACACGTCTCACCATACTCCACCAACAGACAAAACAGTAGACGCAACGTGCCGGATGATCAGCCTAATTATGGGCAAACGCGATGCTCGTCTGCGCCCTCTCACGTCTAGTTCTTTGTTTCGCTGCGGGCATTTGATACCGGCACATGGGCTGCACCTGAGGACAATGAGAGCAGAGTCTGGAACAGCCCCGTCCGCCTTTACTTTTCAGCCTTATTCCCCCTCCCCGCTTAAGGGGCAAAGGGTTACACCGGTACAGTTACCAACAGACCCTTCTCGCGCATGACAATCACCGTCCTCAGAGGTGGCTGTATAGTTTGCCTTCATGTTTGTGCATCATACGAGCTTTGTAAAGGAACCACCCTATTGGCGCGCTGCTCCTTTTTGCTGCTCTGCAGGAGGGGCCGACGAAGTTTGGCTCGGTAGGGGCGTATTCCTGGATTCCATCAACCACACCCGATCCGTCCTGCAGGAAACTGTCAACACCAGCGAAGCTGTGCGCACGGCACATCGTCGCGTTGTGATGGATTTCTGCTAAATATGACCCCCCCCGCCCTAAAAAGGGTCTCAATACGGCTTCCCCCCCGCCGCTTAAGTTACACTTTATTGAATTTTTATCGGACATTTTTTACTACCATATTAAAGAGCACGTTAAATACTATAATAACACTCCGCCACAGCCTTCTGGAGGAGCGCCATCGAGAGATTCGGCCACGCGAAAGTGAGTGGGCACCGGAGTTGAGCGAGATCGGTGATTTCTCCGCCACTGTAGTCCACCCTGTTGAGCTCCGCCCGAACCGAGTAACTGAGGGGGTTCAGTTCAGGACCCCCGCTTAAACACTCCATCTTTTCCAGGTACTCAACGTTCTTCCATTCCAAGTAGGCGAAAGTTTTTCCAACGCCCTTCGATTAAATGGTTGCCACCCAATCGTGTAGCAGTACAAAGTTTCCAAGAAGGTACGGGCGACGACATGAAGATGGGATATTCTCCTCGAGTTGCTCGATGTAGCCACCAGCGCACACCCTCAGTCTGGGGCCCACGAAGAAAATATCGGTTCATCCATTCCAGGTACGGCCGGTGCACACCATCAACCCGCGCCTTGGTGAATGAGGTGAAGATGATTTCCTGGACCGTTGCCGGAGCTGCTCGATGTTTGAGGTCTTGCAGATCAAGAGTACTGGTCTCCAGGTAGCTATCTATGGGTGATTTCATTCAAGAAGTTCCGCAGCTGTTTGGAGGCCACGTGAATTCCAAAGGCATTCTCCACCCAGGCCGCGACTGGAGATGACTTCATATTTTGGTGTACATGAAGGTGAATGGCGACAGCCGGCTCCTGCTTATAGAGGAAGATCTTGGGTATCTTCCGCCCTGGTAGTCATATCCACTTCCTCTGTCTGGGCTGCGAAAACTTCGCTCATATGTGACTCCGCCGGAATGACTTTTTGGTACCCCCCCCCCGGTATATAAAGCAAAAGTTGTCTGTGTGTCTGTACGTCTGTCTGATCGCCTGAAATCGGGGACTCGTGGATATTCACTTTGAGGGTACTGACTGTGCTCAGAGTAAACGTGACACTGGCCAGCATTGCACAGCGCAAACAACGTCACCCAAACTCCGCCCACAATGGGCGGGGCGTTCACTAAAGTGGACGAAGCTGAAGATAAAAATCATCGAAACGCATCCGGAAAAGCCCAGGAAACGGGGAATATGAGTGAAACTGAGCAACGGATAGGTAGACGAATTGAGAGAGACACGCGTAAGACACCCGTTCATTCGGCAAGTTCTCAATATTAATGAGGGTACCCTATAGAAAATTTCAGCGACTGTCTTCTAGGGGGGTATATACAAAGAATGGAAAGGCAAAGTTCGGTGATTTTTGAAAAAATATTTTTTGGCAAACCCTGACACTGGGGAAACTCTGGGGCAATATCCATTTCACACGCAGAAGGAGGATCGCTCGTGAATCCGGGCGCTGGCCCTCACTGGGAAAACTATTGGGAAATACCCACTCCACACGCGGAAGGAGGATCGCGCGGCGAAGCCGGGCGATCCGAGTGGTTTTCACCGGGAAAACCCTGAGGCAATGCGATTCGACTGGTCATGATAAATGTGAGCAGCACAAAGAAAAAGCCATAATAAACCATACATAAATAAAAAGAAATAATAAGCTATAAATGAAGCGTAATAAGACGTAAAAAAGAAAGGAAATACAGGAAAATACAAATGTCAACACTTAAATATTATTTGTTCGCGGCCATCCAAAAAGCCAGATTGAGCTAGAACACGCTTTGAGCTTTGGCATTGGAGTGGGCTATTTCACGGTCCGAATTCAGTTCCAAGCCAGGAACTCCGGAAGTACATTTCGCTTGAAGGCCCAGAACTTCTTTGAGGGCAGAACTTCTTATAGGAGAAAGAAGGGCTGTATAGCAATAGGCTGGCACTTGTCAACCGAGTTTAAGCGATTTTAAAAAATTTCCTCCGCAAGGGATTTTCCCCGTTGTGATGCTGTCGTTACATTTAGGCCACCTGGGGACTCTTACGCTTTGAACAGCTATAACAATCTTCATACAGGGCTATTCTGAAACATAAGACAGCACCAGGAGGATAGCACAGAGATTTCTACTTTTCAGCAAGGCTTTCATTCCATTTCTAGGCCTGCTACTCAAAAAGTCCCCCGTTGTGATGTTCCTATTACATCCTCTGGACGATATGAAAAACCCTACCCCTTCGACCTAATTCCAGTTCCAGTTCGTTTTGATACTTTCGCATGCTTATCAGGAAATAGTTCATTCGACGCCAAATGGCAACACATCTGCAATGCGCCATGCATAGGGATCCCACCCAGAGACGTTGGTAAGTTGCAACTACTACGTAAGGCTCCGTGCAAGCAGATGTGCTTGTGGAACCAGGAAGGTCCGGAAATCTACTCTCATCTGTTTATAAATTTATGAGGTCGTTTAAGCGGCCATCGTATTTCCTGTCATTGCCCGTTCCCCACTTCTGCGCTGGCCGACTGCTTCTTCTCCAGGTGTCTCTTCAGGTGCTCTTCACATGTATGAGTCTTTCATCATTGGAGCTTCATGACATCTGAACATCGCTGCACTCCCCACTCCAGAAAGGGCCCTGCGCTTGCGATCCTCCCCCCCCCCCACTTCACCTCCCTCGCGGTCGAGTACGACTCCCTGTTGTAAGTATCTTCGTTTATAGTTGACAAGAGTCACAGGCCTCACTAAGCTGAGATGGGTATGTTGGTCGGAACATAAAAAATGAAAAGGCTTGCTAGCAAATGCCTCCCCCTTAATGAGCCGCACAACAGCGAGGGGTGCTCCAGTGGCAAAAAAACACGAAGGATGTCGGACTGCGCCCATCCAGGTGTCGCTAAAAGTTCCATTGAGCCGGGTCAGAATAAACTTCAACCGATCAGTCTCCAGAAGACTGTTCATTGCAAATACGTCTATTCGCTGCGCTTAATTTACAAGCTCAGATTATTGGATTCGACATCATCGTTCGGGAAGATGGTACACCTATCCTTCTCGAAGTGAACGCCGCTCCCTCTTTGACAATTGATCACACTAAAGCAGATGGAGTCCGCATGAAGAGCATTGTAGACGAAGTTTGTTCGAGGCTTTTGAAGACTTGGATTATTTTGACTTTCTAGCGCAATTAAGTTTGTCCAACTTCAGCTGATCAAGCTTCCACTCGTACGAGACACGCTTCTTTTGGTAACGAGTCAACTGAAGGAGCCAACTAAGCGTAGGTGTGTGATACTGCCCTTACAACCTACGAATTTTAGTTTTTGGGCCACAAAGACATGAATATCTGGTGCGTCTACTTGTAAAGACAAGGTGAGCGCGCCAACGTACGTTGCTGATGCGCCCCTCGAGAAAATTTTAGTTCTAGAGCCTTGCCTATACTCCAACTTTTTTTTCTTGGATATTCTCTTTCTCTGATCTTCTTATCTGAACTAGTCGGTACTCTTTGACCGTGTTGTATGATGAAATAATGAATGCCGTTTGAAAACACTTTCTCAGAGGTCTTGCCCTAATCACTGGTGTCTTTTGAATTGTGTATTAGGTTGGTGCATAAGTTCTTAGCCCCGTGTTTGATCCTTCCGTATTTCGTTTGCATGGATGTTGGTATATCGTCATCATGTGTGCTGACGCAGGCACTATACTCTTTTATCACAATAGCTATCACTCGCCCACCCTGCATTTGCAGGCCACAATGTCGCACAATTACCACTCGGACAGAATGTACATGCGCCACTGCCTGGTTTCGCTTCACGATTCACAAAAGAAGCTTCACTTTCCTAACTCGATGATCACTGGAGATGAGAAGTGGGTCCTCTACGATAACCCTTTGAGGAAGCGGCAGTGGGTCGACAAAGGAGAACAGCCAGAAGCCTCCCCAAAGGCCGACCTTCACCCCAAAAAGGTTCTCTTGTCCTGTTGGTGGTCCAGAAGAGGCATGGAGTACTGGGAGCTGCAGGAGAAGGACAGACGATTGATGCTTCCAATACGTTACCCAGCTGCGGAAATTGAAAGATCACGTCGACCGTACTCGTGGATCGAATGCGGAAATCTACTTCCACCATGACAACGCCCGACCTCACACTACAAAGGCGACCCATGCCGAGCTGGAGAAGTAGGGATGGCTGATGATCGCCCAGCCCCCTACAGTACTGACATCGCTCCTTCTGAATACTGGCTGTACAGCCACCTGCAGCGCTCTCTGGACGGAAAAAAGTTTGAAACAAAGGATCAGGTCAGAAAGGCACTCGAAGACTTGTTCAAGTCCCAGCCCCCGTCGTTCTGGAAGGAAGGAATCGACATGCTAACCGCCTGAGCGCTGGCGTCGAGTAGTGGATGTTGAAGGTGCATACCTCTAATCTTCAGGTTGGCTCGCTATTGAGATATTTACGAAAAAGTCGTGACTAAGAACATATGCACCAACCCAATACTTTGCAATTTCCTACTTCACATTTCGGAATGAATCAAATTTGATTGGTATTGATTCAAGTAGCGCTAGTGAGACGGTCATAAGAACTCCCATCTTGGAGCAGGATGTATGAGCAACCCATATTTTAAACCCCAATCCTCGAGGTAGATGAGAGTGTAGAATTTGCGATATTTTCCCTCTGATCTGGTACATTGTGGAAGAATGGGACTGGGTCTACTTTCATTGTCAAGCGCGCGATAGTGATCCGACTTCCTGAGTGCCTGACCGCCTTACTAAAGTACACGTTTGGGGAGAGTAATCCAGAACAGAAAAAGAAAATTCAGAACAGAAAAAGACCATGGTCACGTGTATCTGACCCCAAGCTCCGCTTCCTCCGATTTCTCGCTACTTGTTAATGTGTTCGTCTATGGTATATTCAACACACTTTTCAGTGCATCGGCGCATGGCAGTTCAAGATCATCCGACGATTTGAATTCGTTGAAATCACAGAAGAGGTCTCATCTGAGTGAGGTACTCCGGTTTATCACGGCCACCTTTCCGTGAATAAGCATTCCCCGAACGTTTTATTCCGTTGAAGATATTTCCGAATCGATACGGGCAGGAGGCAACGCATTTACTGTTCCTGGACAGGGCCGTGTACATTTTCTTGCAATTCGCTAACCTTCGTCTGTCGAAAAATATAAGCCTTTCGAGTTTGCGACGATTCATTAAGTAAGTTTCACTAAAAGCGATGTTGACAAGAAGCGGGCATCCTTCCACAGTGGGAACCCATGCGGCACCGCTTTCCACACAAGATTACAAGTCTAGGAAAAAGGCGGTACACCGAAACCTGCGCGTGAAATAAACCGTGTCGGGCCCTATGAAAGCACACAGTTGGACACACCGTCAGGCTATTTAGTTACCTCGAGTTTGAAGTACATTTATTGTACCGTGTAATACGCCTTTTGCCAAGCCTGGTTAATGTACGGGAGCTCCGAGATCATGAAAGAAAGCGAGAATCTGCTCTTCAACCGTTAGGTGTTCCCTAGGGAAAACTGACGGGGGAGGTCGTTCAGGATGTGGTGAGCTTTTTAAAAACGGTTCTCTGCATACTGTAGGGGCTCATGCAAGGACTTGGAAAGTCTGCTTCATTTTCGCTGCGCGCTTCCAGGAAAGGTAAAAAACGAGTGAAAAGAAATCTTTGGAAACCGCTTCGTTTTGGACCTCCATGTGGCGTAGATCACTTGCAACTTTGACCAGCTGCTAAGTGTGGAGGGGGCGGTCCTTGTAAAAGGGCTACTTGAATCGAAGCGAAAAATCGTCGCAAATGAGCTTCCAACTTGGGTCACGCGCTGGGTGGACGGCTCCTTGCAACTGTTTCTTCGGCGATTAGAGCGGTAGGCATCGGCACGATTGGTTGGCCTAGCGGGTAGAGTGGAGGATTCGCAATCGTACAATGAGGATGGGGATGATGGTTCGCTCGCCTTACGTTGCAGCTTTTTGCATTTTTAGGTTCCGCTGTCCTCACTTCCATTTGTGTCTGCGCATGAATATAATTCGGAATTTATATAATTTGACATTTAGGGCACATTCTGAGTAGCTATGCCCCATGAATTAGTGCTATTCGAATGATTTTCACGCACCGTTGAACAAGATTGTTTCTGGAGTTGATCTTCATAGGCTAGACAAAGGATTTGATCGCGATTATAGTAACTTGGTGTGATGTCGATTGTAGCCAATTCGAGGCCCACATTTTCTTTCCACTGAATTCGTTATGTACGCCCATATGGGGAACGTTCAGCGCTATACTGGCGCCAAATTTCGTGGACGCCAAGAATAGGCGTTATATTTGTGATCAGAGCCACTGATTACCCCTAGAAATGAATTGTCGGTCAAAACAATTGTTTTGACCTTCTTGAGTTTGTTACTGGGTTGTCCGGGGTCCGCAAACCGCCGACCAAATGGTCGGTCACCCACCTGAAAGTCACAAAAATTTTTTGTTAAAAACTTGCTCCGGGGGTAATCGATAGTTCTGATCACGATTGTGGTATTTATTTTTGGCGCCAAAGCCATCCGGCACCAGCATAGCGCCGAAGAGCTGACAAGGGAGCCCCAACAGGTCGATCCGGCCATTTGCATTGAGATTTACATACATGGGCGTGCCTTAAGCCGCTGAATTCAAATCTGCCCTCCTTTTTTGCGGAGCGATTCTCTGAAGAGAGTTACGGACCATTTGATCTTTGCTCTGTTGTACAAGTTGAGAAGGATAGTTGACTGCGGCAAGCGGCGATGGCCCAGTGGATAAGAGCAGCGCTTCAGAGACACGAGCTCGCATGTTGGAATCCTTGACTCTTGGGACATCTTTGCTTTTGTTCAAAGCTCATATCAGTCCCCAGAACACTTCCGTTTGGCCAATTTACCCAATCTCTGATTATTTGACGATAGGAGCGGCCATTGCTCCATTTGTGGTTCCTTCCAAAAACTTTTATCATAAGGATTACCATTTCTAGAGCTCGCATAGAGGAATGGAGATTTCACGGTATAAGAGCACATGTGGTATACTTCCACAGAATGATAGAAACAATACGAATTCTTCAAATGAGCGGAGCAAATGAAAAGTACTCTGCACGGTACATTAAAGTTCTCCAAAAATCCGGAGGGGAAGCAGTACTGAAGAGGTGTTTCGAACCAACATGATGTACATCGAAGTATCCAGCCGAGTCCTTCTTCTTCTCCTAGCGTTAGTCCGCGCGCCGTCGCAGGGTCCGCTGATCTTGTTGGACGTCGCCACTTGTTCGCGATCCACTGCATCTTCTGCTGTGGCTTTCACTTCAGTGAGGTCCCTCTTGATGACGTCCCTCCATCTTTTCTTTGGGGCTCCTCGTGGTCGCTTGCCCTCTACTTCGAGTTCCAATGCCTTCCTTATTGGGTGGTCTCCGGCCTCCTCAGTACATGACCGTACCATCACAGTCGCTGCTCTCGTGCCTTCAGCTGGATAGGAGCCGTCTGTGTGACTGCTCTGACGTCCTCGTTTCTTGACTCTGTCGAGTCGTATCCACCGCAGACCCCATCTCAGCATCCTCATTTCAGCTGAGTGGAGCTGCCTTTCATGGTTCTTGCAGATAGGCCAGCACTCACTGCCGTAGAGCATTGTAGGCCTTAACCGCACGGTACACCTTGCCTTTGAGCGTTCTCGAGCACCGCCGGTCGCACAGGATGCCAGTGGACTCCCTCCATTTCATCCAGGCTGCGTTGATTCGGCGCGTCACCGCCTGGTCCACGCTGCCATCTGCTGCTAGGTTGCTCCCCAGGTACTGGAAATCCTCGACCCTTTCGATGCTCTCGCCATGGCGATCTACGATGACTTCGGCGCACTCTTCGGAGCTTAGGAACTTGGTCTTCTTTACGTTCAGCTGAAGTCCATTCGAAGCGAGCACATCCTGCCAACGCTGCACCTTGTCCTGAAGTTCTCCCTGCTGTCCGCTATCAGGGCGATGTCGTCAGCATAGAGGATGGTTTTCAGTGGTCCCTCCATGAGTTCTTTTGCCATGACATCTAGAGTCAGGAGGAAGAGGAACGGCGCTGAGGGCTGAACCGTTGTTGTACCCCCAACCGTAATGTTTACCTCCTTTGTCAAGCCGTGAGGGGTGCGTACAGCTGCTTTAGCCCCATCGTACATGTCCTTCACTATGGAGATGAGATGTTCCGGAACGTTACGTTCTCCGAGCGCTCTCCAGAGTACAGGCCTTGGTAGGCGGTCGAATGCCTTCTCAAGGTCCAGGAATGCTAGGTAGCAGGGTCGCCGCTTCTCTCGATACTTCTCCATTAGCTGTCTGGCGATGAAGATGGCATCGGTGGTGGACCTCTCGGGCATGAA